GGCCGTTTATATGCAACGGCCGGTCGGGAAGTGGTTAAATAATACCATTACATTATTCAAAGAAACATGAAGCCTAGTGTACAGTATTTTACAAATAACAATAATTAATTCAAAATATTGGAATATTGTGCACTTATCATCGTCTTCTTTTCTTTCTTGGGGTGGTTGTAGCCCTCAGACATGAAGAGTGAGCAGGGTATATCTCTCTCTGTGGTGTGTGCTTGTCTCAATCCAGAACACTAGGTGTTATTAATGTCTGCTGTTCCTCTGTTATCTGTATGTGTCACTTATGGCAGGTTTTTCTGACACCAAGAGGTGGAAGGGTAACAGGGGAGAGGCCTCCAAAGCAGCTGCAAATGGCAGCCTCAACTCTGTTTGTTGTGTGGGATATGTAGGTGTGTGTCCCTTCCCTCAGGTTGGTTCTCAGGGCTTTTCTTGCTGGGATCTGAGGAGTGTGGCTTCAGCTCCCTGCCCCCTGCTTTTTGAAAGCTCAGACAGGCTGTGTGAATTCTATACTTTTGGCGGCTGTGGAGAAGAGAGGGCTGCAGATGGACAGGTGCAGCTTCTGTGGGAGGATTTGTTGCGCCTCTGTGTGTCCCTGGGGCTGGTCACTTATGAGTGGGTTTATATCCACTTTAATGTATCCTCTTCTTCTTGATCTATACTTTTTTTATAACCTCTTTTTAAATACCTTTAGGAATTTGAAGAGGTGTGTTTGAATTTACTCTTCAAAAGTAATTTTGGAATACACTCACCATCCACTTTAAACTCACAACCAAGAAAATATCCCCCACGCTATTGCACCACCATCACCAGCCTGAACTGTTGATACAAGGCAGGATGGATCCATGCTTTCACGTTGTTTATGCCAAATTCTGACCCTACCATCTGAATGTCGCACCAACCAGTCTGCCCATTCTCCTCTGGTCTGTGACATCAACAAGGCATTTTCATCCACACAACTGCTGCTCACTGGATATTTCCTCTTTTTTGGACAATTCTCTGTAAACCCTAGAGATGGTTGTGTGTGAAAAACTCAGTAGATAGGCAGTTTTTTTTAAAATATTTAGACCACCCCGTCTGATGCCAACACCCATGCCATTTTCAAAGTCCCTTAAATCTCCTTTCTTCCCCATTCTGATGCTCGGTTTGAACTTCTGCAAGTCATCTTCACCACATCTAGATGTCTAATTGTAAGATTGTGAGCTCTAAGGATCAGAACCCTCTGTTTCTTCTTGTACCAAATTGTATTGTAACTCTAATGTCTACCTTCATGTTTTAAAGCACTGCGCAAACTGTATATATGCTATATAAATTCTGTATAATAATAATAATAATAATAATAAATGTATTGAGTTGCTGCCATGTGATTTGTGCTGCCAAGCAATTGAACAGGTGTACCTAATAAAGTGGCTGGTGAGTGTATATATTTATTATCTTGAATATATTTTATTTTATATGACTTGTTTCCTTCCCTTGGACATTATTTGTTAACAATTTGCTAGTTAAAGTTTAAACTATTGTAGTTTAGATATGAATGTGCATGTTATGTTGTTCTCTTTTTTGATTTTACAACAATAAAAGTTATTGAAAGAGGAAAAAACAAAGAAGGCACTCGGTATATGACCTTTCTTTGCTTCATTTATTAAATCCTCAGCTTACATGACTGATGCAGCCTTAGGCTGGATTCACACATATGCGGTGCGGTATATCGCATGTGATTCGCACAGGAACCGCACCGCATTCCTGTGCAAATCACATGCGAATTTTGTATGGCTCCAATCGCACCGCATCCGCACCAAAAAGGTGCAGGAGCCTTTCTTTGGTCCGCACTAGAATCGGATTGCATTTGTATTCACACCCATGCGATGCAATTCTGCAAATCACACCGCGTTTTGCGGACCGATTTCGGGGTGTTGTAAACTTAACATACACACCTGCAGCGGTTTGCATGAATGGGGTGCGATTGTGATGCGGTGTGGAATTCACACAGAAAACGCTGTAAATTACACACCGCATCAGTGTGAACCCAGGCTAATGCATAGCTCCTAAAGTGAAATTACAGTCAAATACTATCTAAACCTAAACCTGCTCCCACACCATTCTAAGCTTCTTGTATCTGCCCTAAATAAAGGAAAGATGTCTATACATACCTATTCTGAGGCGGCTCTGGTCCGGTCACATGATCGGGTCCCAGTGCCGGCTTCGGTGTAGAAGAAGGGGCAGTCGACAATGGTTGCTCCACAGTAAAATAGTAAACCTATGGGTGACCTCATTGCCTAGGTCCTGAAGCTGTTATCAGCAATTTCTCGTCTACACTGAAGCCAGCCGCTGGAAAGATCATGTGATTAGAACAGATCACCCTCAGCATAGGGAAATGTAGACTTCTTTCCTTTACAGGGTAGTTAGAACAGGCTTAGGATGGGGGTGGGAGAAGGTTTAGGCTTGGTTAGTATTTGAATATACTTACACTACAAATAGGGAAAGTAATAATCGACAACAGCTGCAATATAACTAAAGGTAGTTTTTATGTTTATTTTTGGATAAAGTGGAGAGGAGAGTACCTTTTTTTATATGTCCGAGATTCACTCTCTCGTGTGTCCTATTTATCATTATCACCAAAAGTTAAAGTGAAAGGAAATGCCAAATTTTGGGTTGAGACCAGAACAGGAATGGAGGGAAAATCTTCCAATGGGGTACTAATTCAGGTGACCCTGTTGACAGCCAGAGATTCCCTCACTTTGGAGGGATTTCCTCCACCCTTCCTGGCTTGGCTATGGAGAGGAAGTGAAGTCCCCAATGGGACACAGATGGGAAAAAAATGACACATGTTATAACCCTCCCTTACTCTATCCAAAACTAAATACATTTTTGCCTTTAGTTCCCTTTCACTGCCAGGGCCGTTTTTGTGTTTTGTGCACACGTTTAAAAAATAATTTTAGGGCTGAAGATTACATAAAACCCCCAAACATTATATATGTTCTGAAAGCAGACACACTAGAGCACGGGTGCCAAAGTGGTGGCCTTCCAGCTGTTGCCAAACTAAAAGTCCCATGAGGCATTGCAAGATTGACAGTTACAAGCATGACTCCCAAAGGCAGAGGCATGATGGGACTTGTAGTTTTGCAACAGCTGGAGGGCTGCCAGTTTGACACCCATGTACTAGAGAATAAAATAGTGGTAGATCCAATTTTTTATGTCAAACGATCTTACCGCAAAGGTCTATGAAATGCAAAATTTCTGTAAAAAACACAAGTGAATTTCAGGGCAAACAAATAATCCAATTTTTTGGTAAAGTATAAAAGACAAGGTTGCACCAAGTAAATAGATACCCAACATGTCAAACCTTAAATTTGTGTGCGCCTATGAAATGGTGACAAATTTCAGTACCCTATATTTTTCTATAGGCAATGCTTCAAAAGCCCCTATAGGTATTCAGTTTAGTGTTACAGAGGAGGTCTTATGCTAGAATGATTGCTGTCACTCCAGTGTGCATGGCGATATGTAACGTGCATGACAATCAGCATTTTCATGCGTAGACTCCCCCAATGTGTGTGTTTATGTTCGTACCTACGTATATGTGAGGGTGGCGGGGCCTCAAAAAAAAAAAAATTTATGTGCTTGAGTATAGCTTTAATTTTTTTTTCAGTTAAAACCTTTTCATTCCAAAAAGCCCCCTATGTCATGATTTTTAGGTAGCAGGTTATCTTTAATGAGACATGTAGGGTTTTTAATGCTCCAATTAATGTATTGCAATGCAGATCGCATTGCAATACATCTCTTCCCAGCTATGCTAGCTGGGAAAAATGACAGGGTGACCCAGATGTAACATCATACACGCGGCTTTCCTTGTCACCATCATGAAGGGGGGAGGAGAGCGGATGTATGTCCTGATTATCAGTGCAGCATATCAGTGCCCATCAGTGCTGCTTTATCAGTGCAGCCTCATCAGTGCCTCTTCATCAGTACCTATCAGTGCAGCTTATCAGTGCCACCTCATCAGTGCATTCTCATCAGTGCCCATCAGTACCCATCAGTGCAGCCTCATCAGTGCCCATCAGTGCCCATCAGTACAACCGCATCAGTGCACATCAGTAAAGAAGAAATTTTTTTTTGCAAAAAACAAACAAAAGTTTTATTTTATTTTCCTGAAAACTATTTTTTTTTCAGACTAGTTTGTTTAGCAAAAAATAAAAAACCCAGTGCTGATTAAATACCACCAAAAAAAGGCTCTATCTGTCTAAAAAAAAAAGGTAAAAATTTGATTTGGGTACAGTGTTACATGACTGCGAAATTGTCATTCAATTGTCATTCAAATTGTGAAAGCTGAACTGGCCTAGGCAGTAAGGGGGGTGAAAGTGGTTAAAAAACAAGTACATATAATATAGCTTCCCATCCATTTACTAATGCTAGCAGCATAATGATTAAAATAGTTAAAGTTGATTGAGAGAGCTTAGTTCTGCTTTAACCTCCCTAGCGGTCTGATTATGTCCATATTTCTGTGCTCAAAGTGGTACATTTTTTTTTGCATGGAAATATGTATTTTTTTTATTGTAGGCCTGTAATTTTTAGGAATAACTCACTGAAATCTGTCCGAACAAGAGTCTAGTAAACATTCTGGGTATGTTAAAATTTGAAACACGAAATCATAAAATATAATTTAATAAATAATCATAAAAAATAATAATATAATAATAATAAATTTAATTCAATAATATAATCAAACCAAAAACACTGAAAGTTGAAATATAACGCCAAGTTCGCACATCACTGAGCAAAGTCGCAAAATCGTTTTCAGTGTCTGATGACGAATTTCCCCACGAATTATTATCACTCAATTCTGCAAGTGGTTCTAATTTACTATCGCTGTTCTCTAGTTGGTCTGAAACCACTTTTGACCTAAAGGGATGCTTTTTGGACTCCATGGACTTTTCTCAGTTTCCAGGCAGAAAGAACAGTAAAAATGCAGGCAGGGCACAGGACAAAGCACTCGGGACAAAATGTATGTGAAATGGTTTGATACAGTAATGTTTTACTATGTTATTTTAGTGAATTTAGTGAATGTCACTTTTTGTCATTTTCAAATTTCCCGACGTTCTGTCCCTGTACGTCCTGACGTCGCAGGGGACGGAACCCAGAAGACAGATGCCGGCATCCGCCAGAGGACATTACAGGGGACACTGCAGGAGGGACATCGCGGGAGCGCAGAACAAGGTAAGAACAGATCCCGGAGCAGCGACGCATGGTAAGCCCGAGTGTAGCTCGGGGTTACCGCTTGTGGTACTGAAACTTTACTCAGAGCTACACTCGGGAATACCGCCAGGGAGGCTACGAAAATATAGATATTGTACATAGGAGGTTTGTGCAAAAACCATCTCTAAACTAAAATCACAAATTTTGGAAAATATGGAATTTAGAGAACCTTGCCCCTGCTATTGTGTCTTCCATTTAAGTATTAATAAACACTGTACCGTTGATATCACTAACTTAATTTCTGGAAAACATTTGTAGAGTTGAACAACTAACCCTAATCAACAGCCAGCATCTGGGGAAGCATTGATTTTTTAAGCATTTATCTTGTGGCTGTAAAACAGAGTTAGAAAAGAAAAAATCAATAAAATTAATTCTTAAAACACTGGTGTCCTCCTCTGTCCCTGAGAGCAATAAAACTGAAGCAGCTGTCAAACCTAATGCATCTGCTGCAGGTCTGGGCTAAATGTTTCTTTATTACAGCAAAGGTCATTGTGCACCCTGGATATATCCTGCATGCTGTAAACACAAACATGTCTACAGTATATGGGATAAATATCTGTAAAGTTGAATTCCAGACAAATATAAAGCTGGCATATTATACATTTATACATTATACATGAACAGTGAAATGTGTTTTACATACAACTGGAATAAATACCCTGACGCTTTCCATCTGACTATGAGGGCTTGTTGAGATGAGGAAACAACTCATGATGGTCTTATCAGTATGCTACTGCCCCTGTATTTCCCAGTCACAAGTAGGGATGGCTTCAAGACCAGACTGTATTGCACATCTGCAGTGTAGTAGACCTTCAAAAAGGTCTCAGGAAGTGCACGACCTGGTTGTGCTAAAAGACAGGGGTACCTGGTCACAAAACTGGCTAAACAGAATTACAAATGCTTTGGCAGGTATGAAGTTTGCTTTCGGTATATATTTCATTAGAAAGACCTAATTTAACATTTAAAAAAATAAATCAAAACTAACATGGACAAGGCAAGGTTCTTGATCATACTTAAAGTTACACTAAATTTCGGTTTAAGAAAAACAAAATCTACTCAAAGATGTATTCTTATCTTTAAAGTGTACTTTTTATTGCTGTAAACCTCCTCCAATTCTGCAAGTTCCTTTTTTTTTTGCTTCTGTAATCCAATTTCCTGTTAGAGGGTGGCTACATTCATTCTCTGTGGTCACACTATACGTAGGAACATAGCCACCCTCTCTTGCTCACACCAATGGACCAGTCAAATGGACTAGAGGCTATGCAATATGATGTATGGGATGTGATTTGTGCATAGAACAGTGCATATGACCACAAATAATCTGCACTGCTTATTAAAAAGAAATTGAGGGGAATTGGGGGACAAGGAGAGTTTCGGGAGCTGACAGAAGATGTTACAGGGAGGCAAAAAAAACGCAAGAAATAATTTCATGAAACACTGATCACAGGGCCATTAGGTAATGGATGTGTCTGGAAAATAAGGATATCATTTAGTGTGACTTTAAGGCCACCAAAGACATTAGAGGGCAGTTGGGTGTGCAGATACTATATGACTGCCTTTAGACATCCATATCCCTAAACACAAATGGTCGCATCTTGAGAAAGTTCATATTTTATATAAGGAGACAGGAGGGGAATTTGCACTGCAAGCACCTCTTATGGCTTATTGGGGCAGGAGACAACAGTGAAGAGACCACATTTTTCAACATGTTCCATGGCTGTTACCCCCAAAGAAAGCTTTGGCCCACAGTGGTTGCCATTTAATGTCTATGGGCACCTCTACAATAGAGTCAATATTTTTTTGATCACCAAACAACTGTACCCATATTGATATGAAAGAATTATAGAGAAAATTGACACCTCTGTTTGAGAGCCAACTAAATGCAAATCAAAGTGAGTATGAAAATTATAGCATAAAATATCCTGTGAATAACATGCTTAAATCATAATGAAAGTATATGAACTAGGAAGCCTTTGATCCTTTGTACTTCCCTTTCGACCCTATCACCTCACAACTCCTACGACCTCCCTCCCCCTCCATCCTACGCTCCCTCACCCACATCTTTAATCTCTCCCTCTCCTCCGGCACTTTCCCCTCCCCTCTGAAACATGCACACATCACCCCCATACTTAAAAAGCCCTCCCTGGACCCCAATGACCCGAACAACCTCAGACCCATCTCCCTGCTCCCATTTACATCCAAACTCCTCAAGCGCCTAGTCTATACCCACCTAAGCTCTCACCTCAACGACAACAACCTCCTCGATCCCCTACAGTCCGGCTTCCGTCCCCTACACTCCACCAAAACTTCCTTACTCAAACTCTCCAACAACCTGCTAACCGCCAAAGCTAATGACCACTATTCAGTGCTCCTACTCCTTGACCTCTCTGCGGCCTTCGACACAGTCGACCACCCCCTCCTCCTCAAAAAACTACACTCCCTCGGCCTCAGAGATTCTGCTCTCTCCTGGCTCTCATCCTACCTGTCACAATGCTCTTTCAGCGTTACCTATAATGCTACCACCTCCCCCCCTCACTCCCCCTCTCTGTTGGGGTCCCTCAAGGCTCCGTCCTCGGGCCCCTTCTCTTCTCCATCTACACCTCCTCCCTTGGCCAACTCATACACTCTCACGGCTTCAACTACCACCTATATGCCGATGACACACAAATCTATCTCTCAACCCCCCCCCCACCTCACCACCTCAGTCTCCGCCCGAATCACACACCTACTGAGCGACATATCTGACTGGATGTCGCTCCACTCCCTTAAACTGAACCTCTCCCAAACCAAGTTTCTTGTCTTCCCCCCAGCCCGGACACCACCCCCCATTGACTTCTCCATCACATCCAACAATGCCACCATCAAACCCGCCCCGCAGGCCAGAGTACATGGTGTCATTCTGGACTCCAACCTATCCTTCCAGCCCCAAGTCCAATCTTTAACAAACTCGTGCAGACTCCACCTCCGCAACATCGCCAAAATACGCATGTTCCTAACCCCAGAAACCACTAAACAGCTCATCCACTCCCTCATCATATCACAACTCGACTACTGCAACTCCCTCCTCACTGGCCTGCCTCGCCGCTGGCTATCCCCGCTTCAGTCGATCCTGAATACGGCTGCCAGACTCATTCACCTTTCCAACCACTCCATTTCCGCCACCCCCTCTGCCAATCAGTCCACTGGCTTCCGATTGTGCAACGGATCAAATTCAAAATCCTAACACTGACGTACAAAGCCGTCCACCATACTGCCCCGAAACTACATCACTGACCTAATATCCAAGTACCACCCAGCACGCACACTCCGCTCCTCACAAGACCTCCTTCTCTCTAGTTCCCTGGTCTCCTCCTCCCATGCCCGCCTCCAGGACTTCTCCAGGGTGTCACCCATCCTCTGGAACTCCCTGCCCCAACCCATCAGATTATCACCTACTCTCCTCTCCTTTAGGCGCACCCTGAAAACCCATCTCTTCAGGGAAGCCTACACCACCCCCTGCTAACTTGCCGACCTCCTCCACTCTTCCTACCACTCCATCCCCCACAGCTATCTCCTCCTGTGCCACCATCCCCTCCCTCCTAGATTGTAAGCTCGAAAGAGCAGGGCCCTCGATCCCCTCATGTTTTGCATTGTATTGGTATTGTACTGTCACATGTTCTGTCCCCCTTTGTAATGTACAGCGCTGAGCGAACTATTGGCACTTTATAAATACTGTATAATAATAATAATAGGAGGCACAAGATGCACTTAGTACTGCAACTGGTACTGAGCACACTTACAGACAATGCTAAAGGTGGCTGAGGGCTAACATGGCTTATAAGTTTGTAATTGTAGATGTGTAAATTTGATTTTGCAGTTTGAAAAGGGTTATATAACATTACCAGTGGCAAAAAAACACTGAAAGAATTATCAATCACATACTGTATATACAATTATACACAATACATGAATGGCGACCTCTTGACAGTCATACCAGACTCTGATCGAGGATAAGGATCTGGAATGCATCCTTAGGGAGAACCACACAGCAGCATTTTTTGTTTTCTTTTTTGTAGGGTCGTCCATTAACACCCATACCAGACCCTCATCTAGAATAAGGGTCTGGTATAGATGAAAGGAATCTCCAGCTGCTTTATTTACAAAGAGAAGTAATTGGCTTGGAACTGTCATTTGCTGGGCATTTATTTAATTTGTAAATGAAAGTTTTGCTATGAGATAACATACATCATACAAATGGGAGAGAGTTCACGGCAATCACCAGACATGTTATTTGAAGGAATTTAGCAATTTTAATGTTGACCTTTAAGCATTATTAAAATCGCTGTTCCCCGCCAAATAGAATTGTAACTTTTTTTTGCTTTTGTTCGTGTCCCCCAGGACACTGTGTAGCTCCCAATGCCATTAGTTCGACAATCTCTTGCCTATTAGCCTAGTAAATGGCCATTACTGTTTTTTTTTAACCTTTAGCTCCCATTGACTTTAATGGGGTCCGGATTTGGCACTCGAACTTCAGTGATGTTTGGTAAAAAACCCGCCTTTATTTGAAACTTGGTATAATCAGTTTATTCCCTGCAATGAGAATATTTTACTTCTATGGCATATGCATCCATGAATCTATATTATTCAATATATTACTTAATAATGTATCTGTGATGTGTTAGATTCTGCTGGTAACCTGGGATGACACAATGTTGGGGGATTTTATCAGTATCTAATGCTTATTTTTGAAACCAGTAGCAGATGGCTGTTGAATGATTCATTACCATTGCTAATGTGCATAACTAACACATTTTACATTTCCTTCTTTCAAATGAAATAGAAGGACTTGAGCTGTCTGACCTTCCTGTGCAGAAAGAGATCTTTATGCCCCCTGCAGTACATTTCAGCGCTCCTGACATTTCAGAAACAAAGGAAAAGATCTCTTCAATGGCTGAATCAAATATGATGCATATTGCATTGTCATTATCTAAAAGCTTTGAAGTTCATTAAAACATGACAGCTGTACTACTGATTATTGACTATACTACTTTGCAATCTGAAGTATTTTTTGTTCTAACTGATGAGAATTCCATTGCTTCTTCTCT